GAAGCCATTAAAGTTCATGTGCATGTAAAGGCAGGCGTCCCAATACTTTTGGCAATATAGTGTGTGTATATACAGTGAAGGAAATGCGTATTTGCCCCCCTGCTGATTTTCAATGTTCGCCCCTCACAAAGAAATGATCGGTCTAACAATCAAATGTTCGGTGTAACACTGAGAGACAGAATACAACAACAAATTCAGCAGAAATGCGTGTCTAACAAATTATGCACCATGACCTTTAATGGCCCCCCAGTCTTAGTCCGTAGGGTTCAATATTGAGTAGGCCCCGCCCTTTCCCCGCACATGACCTTTAATGGCCCCCCAGTCTTAGTCCGTAGGGTTCAATATTGAGTAGGCCCCGCCCTTTCCACGCACATGACCTTTAATGGCCTCCCCAGTCTTAGTCCGTAGGGTTCAATATTGAGTTGGCCCCGCCCTTTCCCCCACACATGACCTTTAATGGCCCCCCAGTCTTAGTCCGTAGGGTTCAATATTGAGTTGGCCCCGCCCTTTCCACACACATGACCTTTAATGGCCCCACAGTCTTAGTCCGTAGGGTTCAATATTGAGTTGGCCCCGCCCCTTCCATGCACATGACCTTTAATGGCCCCCCAGTCTTAGTCCGTAGGGTTCAATATTGAGTTGGCCCCGCCCTTTGCAGCTATAACAGCTTCAACTCTTCTGGGAAGGCCGCCCACAAGGTTTAGGAGGGTGTCTATGGGAAGGTTGGGCCATTCTTCCAGAAGCACATTTGTCAGGTCAGGCACTGATGTCGGGGGAGGAGGCCTGGCTCGCAGTCTCCGCTCTAATTCATCCCAAAGGTGTTCTATGGGGTTGAGGTCAGGACTCTGTGCAGGACAGTCAAGTTCCTCCACCCCAAACTGGCTCCTCCATGTCTTTATGGACCTTGCTTTGTGCACTGGTGCGCAGTCATGTTGGAACAGGAAGGGGCCCTCCCCAAACTCCTCCCACAAAGTTGGGAGCATGAAATTGTCCAAAATGTAACATTAAGAGTTCCCTTCACTGGAACTAGGGGGCCAAGCCCAACCCCTGAAAAACAACCCCACACCATAATCCCCCCTCCACTAAACTTTACACTTGGCACAATGCAGTCAGGCAAGTACCGTTCTCCTGGCCACCACCAAACCCAGACACGTCCATCGGCTTGTCAGAGAGAGAAGCGTGATTGGTCACTCCAGAGAACATGCCTCCACTGCTCTAGAGTCCAGTGGTGGCGTGCTTTACACCACGGCATCCGACGCTTTGCATTGCACTTGGTGATGGAAGGCTTGGATGCAGCTGCTCGGCCATGGAAACCCATTCCATGAAGCTCTCTACGCACTGTTGTTGGGCTCATCTGAAGGCCACACCAAGTTTGGAGGTCTTTAGCTACTGACTCTGCAGACAGTTGGCGACTTCTGCGCACTGTGCGCTTCAGCATGCGCTGACCCCGCCCTGTCATGTGACGTGGCCTACCACTTGGTGGCTGAGTGGCTGCTGTTTCCAGTTGCTTCCACTTTGTTATAATCCCACTAACAGTTGAGCGTGGAATATTTTAGTAGCCAGGAAATGTCACAGATGGACTTATTGCCCAGGTGGCCACCTATCACGGGACCACGCTTGGAGTCACTGAGCTCCTGAGAGCGACCCATTCTTTCACCAATGTTTGTAGAAGCCGTCTGCATGCCTAAGGGCTTGATTGTATACACCTGTGTCCATAGAGGGGATTGGAGCACCTGAATCACATGATATGGAGGGGATTGGAACACCTGAATCACATGATTTGGATGGCGGGGACAATACGTTTGACAATATAGTGTGTGTATACATATACAGTTGTGTTCAGAATAATATCAGTGTGATGAAAAAAGTGAATAAAGCTGAAAATCCTTCTAATCCTTTTATTTCCATCCACACAAATGCATTGGGAACACGACACATTCTATTCCAAATCACAACATGAAGAAAAATACATCAAATTTTGTGTTGTTTCTTTAAAAAAATGGAAGAAAAGTGAATATTAGACGGTTCAAAAAAATCGCAGTGTTTGTATTCTTCTTTACAAACTCCAACATTCACTATATAAACTGAGAAATGTTTGAAGATTTTGCTTTCCTTTGAATGACTTCATGAATATTTGGTTGTAGTCGCACTGTTTCTGAGAACTGCTGTACATCTGTGTTGCATGGAGTCCCCCAACTTCTGGCCCCTGTGATCAGGTATTCCAGCCCAGGATGATTGGACCACATTCCACAGTTCTTCTCTATTTCTTGGTTTGGCCTCAGAAACGGCATTTTTGATGTCACCTCACAAGTTTTCTATTGGAGGAAGATCCGGGGATTGGGCTGGCCACTCCATAACGTCCATCTTGTTGGTCTGGAACCAAGATGTTGCACGTTTACTGGTGTGTTTGGGGTCGTTGTCTTGCTGGAACACCCATTTCAAGGGCATTTCCTCTTCAGCATAAGGCAGCATGACCTCTTCAAGTATTCTGATGGATTCAAACTGATCCATGATCCCTGGTATGCGATAAATAGGCCCAACAACGTAGTATGAGAAACATCCCCATATCATGATGCTTGCACCACCATGCTTCACGGTCTTCACAGTGTACTGTGGCTTGAATTCAGTGTTTGGGGGTCGTCTGACAAACTGTCTCCGCCCACTAGACCCAAAAAGAACAATCTTACTTCCATCAGCCCACAAAATGTTGCTCCATTTCTCTTTAGGCCGGTCAATGTGCTGTTTGGCAGATTGTAACCTCTTCAGCACACGTCTTTTTCCCAACAGTGGGACTTTGCGGGGACTTCTTGCAGATAGCTTGGCTTCACATCGGCGTCTTCTAATTGTAACAGTCCTCACAGGGAACGTCACACCTTCTTTCATCTTCCTGGAGCTGATTGTTGGCTGAGTCCTCACAGGGAACGTCGCACCTTCTTTCATCTTCCTGGAGCTGATTGTTGGCTGAGTCCTCACAGGGAACGTCACACCTTCTTTCATCTTCCTGGAGCTGATTGTTGGCTGAGTCCGCCCCATTTTGGCTATTCTTCTATCCATTCCAGTAGTAGTTTTTCGCTTTCTTCCACGTCTTTCAGGTTTTGGTTGCCATTTTAAAGCATTTGCCATCATTTTAGCTGAGCAGCCGATCATTTTCTGCACTTCTTTATATGTTTTCCCCTCCAATCAACTTTTTAATCAAGGTACGCTGTTCTTCTGAACAATGTCTGGAACGACCCATTTTCCTCAGAATTTCAGAGAGAAATGCACTGTAACCAGCATGTCCAACATTTGCTGCCTTCCTTCCTTAAATAAGGGCAATAATTGCCACCTGTTTATCAAAGAATGAATGACCTCACTAATAGAACTCCACACGGCTATTATTGTGAACACGCCCCTTTCAATGAGTGATTCAATGACACAGAATCGGCAGCATGCATGTCATGACTGTTGGGTCTGTTGGATTTCTATGACTCTACTACACCTGCTAGGAAATTATTTGCCATGTAGAGATATCATTTCCACCAAAAACAGTGATTGATCCGGTTAGTGATGTCTGACGGCTATTATTTTCAACACAACTGTATGAATGTATGTATGTGTATATATAATACATAAAGCCCTGTTCACACTGCAGTCAAAAAATTTGCGGCATGAAAAGTACTTTGCTGCAACCAATAGAACCTTAATCCTCAGCCCCCCCCCCCCAATATTTTTCTCCCCCTGCTCACCTGTCACTCTGTTCTGCACCGTAAGGATACTCACCTAGCCAGTAGATCCAGTGTTGACCTGCTGGGATCCTCTTCTCTGCAGCCTCTGCACAGGTCCGGCACCGACATGTAGCCTCCTGAACGCTGCTGGCTCTTCTGGGGGCAGGCGTGGCTAGACCCTCATGCATCCCAGGAGGGACCAGGGGTACTGTGGCAAATTCCCGAAAATGGGGGCTGGGCTGAGCCTTTTAATCCAAAAAGCGAAACCCCCCCCTCCCCCTGTGATATTGGCGCTGTGGAGGGGGGGGGGGCGGCGATGGAGAGAAGGAGAGTTCATTGGAAGGGTGAAGGTCCGCTTCAATAAAACATGACTTTGTGACATTTCAATAAAGTTTGCATAAAAAAAAGATACAATCAGGGGCGGACTGACAACTCACGGGGCCCCCAGGCAATAGGGGATCATGGGGCCCCCTGTGTCCTCGCCCAAACTCAAAAAAGCCTATGATAAAGGTACCAGGGGCATCTCATGGGGCCCCCTACTGACCCCGGGCCCTCGGGCAGTGCCCGAGTTTCCAAATGGTCAGTCCGCCCCTGCCTGCATCATAATACCAGCAGGGGCAGACTGACAACTCATGGGGCCCCCGGGCAATAGGGGATCATGGGGCCCCTGTGTCCTTGCCCAAACTCAAAAAAGCCTATGAAAAAGGTACCAGGGGCATCTCATGGGGCCCCCTACTGACCCCGGGCCCTCAGGCAGTGCCCGAGTTTCCAAATGGTCAGTCCGCCCCTGCCTGCATCATAATACCAGCAGGGGCAGACTGACAACTCATGGGGCCCCCGGGCAATAGGGGATCATGGGGCCCCTGTGTCCAAACTCAAAAAAGCCTATGAAAAAGGTACCAGGGGCATCTCATGGGGCCCCCTACTGACCCCGGGCCCTCAATCAGTGCCCGAGTTTCCAAATGGTCAGTCCGCCCCTGGTAACAATGTAATGGATCGGCGTGTTGGTACCGCTGGGACCCGACGCAGCTGCCTCTGTGAAGGGGCCCCAGCAGTGACTCCTGCTGATCCAAATAAGACGCGTTCACCGCGTCCTGCGCACATGTCAGCGAACGCAATGTCATTGGAATTTTAGCGATTACAATCCCGTGAAAAAAAAAAAAAAGTTTAATTTGCCGACCCGACATTTTATGTAAATGAGATGCTGACAATAACGTCGCAATGTGGCGTCAAACTGATTTGTGATTGGCTGTCCGGTGACATAACACAAAGCAATTCTCTCCTTCTGGTTGGCAGTGTACAGAGGCTTCTGGACGGCGTTCATCATCCTCGCCGTGGCCGCCAGCCTGGTGGGCGGGCTCCTGCTGGTCTGCGCTGTGCCCTTCGCCGCCGCCGGGCTCTATAAAGTAGGAGGAGGATTCCTCATCACTTCTGGTAAGGTGACAGTTGTGGGGGGGGGGGGGAGGGGTCAGCACGCTGCGAGCATCCGAAATCTTCGGTCATTGTTCAGTTTTGGGAATGAAATGTATCTATTCGGGAAATCCAGAAATGTTACCGTTGTCACCGGAGCAGGAAACAGGAGTCATCGTCCAATGGGGACGCCTGTTCTGGTGACAACTGTCTATGGAAATATCCCATTCCTTCCTGTTGTGTCTCCAAGGCAGGAAGTGAAGGGAAATCTCCGCAAACAAAAGGAATAAAATGAATTGTCTCCAATCTGCATCAACACCTAATACTATCCCAGGGCCCCTCCACCCCGAACTGAACCTTCTGTGTTGGGTGGATGTTGGAGGGACCCCCCCACCTGGTGGGATCTATGGCCAGTAGTAGGCGCTCTGTGCTGAGTCTCTAGATCCGCACACCCGCCACGCCCATTTCTGCTGATGTATTTCTTTTATAGATCAATATGAAGGCCACACGGTATATTTTACAAGTATTCAAGGGTCTAAAAAATTCCCATCAGAGTCCCTCCTTACATCAGGGTCCCCATCAGAGTCCCTCCTTACATCAGGGTCCCCATTAGAGTCCCTCCTTACATCAGGGTCCCCATTAGAGTCCCTCCTTACATCAGGGTCCCCATTAGAGTCCCTCCTTACATCAGGGTCCCCATTAGAGTCCCTCCTTACATCAGGGTCCCCATTAGAGTCCCTCCTTACATCAGGGTCCCCATTAGAGTCCCTCCTTACATCAGGGTCCCCATTAGAGTCCCTCCTTACATCAGGGTCCCCATTAGAGTCCCTCCTTACATCAGGGTCCCCATCAGAGTCCCTCCTTACATCAGGGTCCCCATCAGAGTCCCTCCTTACATCAGGGTCCCCATCAGAGTCCCTCCTTACATCAGGGTCCCCATCAGAGTCACTGCTTACAGCAGGGTTCCCATCAGAGTCACTGCTTACCTCAGGGTTTCCATCAGAGTCACTGCTTATAGCAGGGTTTCCATCAGAGTCACTGCTTACAGCAGGGTCCCCGTCAGAGCCCCCCCCCCCCCCCCTTAATTCAGGGTCCCATCAGCATCCCCTTAGATCAGGGTCCCCATCAGATTCCTCCTTACATCAGGGTTCCCATCAGAGTCCCACTTACATCAAGGTTCCCATCAGAGTCCCCCTTACATCAGGGTCTCTGTCAGTCTCATCTTATCAGAATCCCCTCATACATCAGAGTCCCCCTTAGATCAGGGTTCCAATCAGAGTCCCCATCAGAGCCCCCCCTTATTTAAGGGTCCCATCAGCATCCCCTTAGATCAGGGTTCCCATCAGAGTCCCTCCTTACATCAGGATTCCCATCAGAGTGCCTCTTTATATCAGGGTCCCCATCAGTCTCATCTTATCAGATTCCCTTCATACATCAGAGTCCCCTCTTACATCAGGGTCCCCATCAGAGTCCCTCCTTACATCAGGGTCCCCATCAGAATCCCCCCTTACATCAGGGTCCCCATCAGAGTCCCCCCTTACATCAGGGTTCCCAACAGAGTCCCCCTTACATCAGGGTCCCTGATGTAGGAGGGGATTCTGATAAGATAAGAAGAGACTGATGGGGACCCTGATGTAAGGAGGGACTTTATCAGATTCCCCCTTACATCAGGGTCTCATCAGTGTCCCCCTTACATCAGGGTTCCCATTAGTCTCTTATCTTATCAGAATCCCCTCCTACATCAGAGTCCCCCTTAGTTCAGGATTCACATCAGAGTCCCCCTTACATCAGGTCCCCATCAGCGTCTCCCTCTCACATTAGAGTTTCCATCAGAGTCTTCCTTACATTGGGGTCCAGATCAAGGCTCCCCCCCCCTAGTTGTAATAAAAATACATGTTGTTACATTGTAATGAATGATGAAATGTAACTTTGTATCTTTGTACTTTAACCATTTATTGGTAACAATGCGGACAATGTTGCGTTCGGAGATGTGGCCCCGTACTGATACGTGTGTGTGTTGCGGTGGGAGATGTGGCCCCGTGCTGATACGTGTGTGTGTTGCGGTGGGAGATGTGGCCCCGTACTGATACGTGTGTGTTGTGGTGGGAGATGTGGCCCCGTACTGATACGTGTGTGTTGCGGTCGGAGATGTGGCCCCGTACTGATACGTGTGTGTTGCGGTCGGAGATGTGGCCCCGTACTGATACGTGTGTGTTGCGGTGGGAGATGTGGCCCCGTACAGATACGTGTGTGTTGCGGTGGGAGATGTGGCCCTGTACAGATACGTGTGTGTTGCGGTGGGAGATGTGGCCCCGTACTGATATGTGTGTGTTGTGGTGGGAGATGTGGCCCCGTACTGATATGTGTGTGTTGTGGTGGGAGATGTGGCCCCGTACTGATACGTGTGTGTTACGGTCGGAGATGTGGCCCCGTACTGATACGTGTGTGTTACGGTCGGAGATGTGGCCCCGTACTGATACGTGTGTGATACGGTCGGAGATGTGGCCCCGTACTGATACGTGTGTGTTACGGTCGGAGATGTGGCCCCGTACTGATACGTGTGTGTTACGGTCGGAGATGTGGCCCCGTACTGATACGTGTGTGTTACGGTCGGAGATGTGGCCCCGTACTGATACGTGTGTGTTACGGTCGGAGATGTGGCCCCGTACTGATACGTGTGTGTTACGGTCGGAGATGTGGCCCCGTACTGATACGTGTGTGTTGCGGTCGGAGATGTGGCCCCGTACTGATACGTGTGTGTTGCGGTGGGAGATGTGGCCCCGTACTGATACATGTATGTTGCGGTTGCAGGGGTCCTCCTGGCGTTCCTGATCGCCCTCTTCACCCTGTGGAAGGAATTCGCCGCGGACCTGGAGCGGTACATCCTGTTGGAGCGCGTTCACCGCTGCGCGCCGGACTCTCACCTCCACGTCTATTACGGATGGTCGTTCATGTTTGCCGCCGCCGGGGCCCCCCTGGTGCTGCTCTCCGGCCTCCTCTTCTTGTGCATCAGCCGCAGCGTTCAGGTGGAGGAGAAGTAAGCGGCGCGGTGGAGCGGGAGATCGCGGATTCGTTGTTTTTTGGACGCGGCACAAAGAACATTGTTATGTCTGTATTCATACGTACCCAGCTGGGCGGATTAGGAGTCAGATAGGGGGCGGGGTGTACAGCCGGGGGGCGGCGGCCTATCGCAGGGCAATAAATACGGCGTGCGCGCCCCGGAACCGCCATCGCACCTCGCTGTACGGTGTCTGTGGGGGAGGAGGATTGTGTGATTTATTTCTATGATTCTTTATTCCAATAAAATGTCACCAAATAAATGTGGTGTCGTGTCTCCGGGGGGGGCAGACTCAGCGGGGGCGGGGCAAGGTGAGGGTGGAGTGTCAGCTCTTGGGGTTTAGGTCACAAATCATTGTATGTCCCAGCGTGCATTGCTGTGCCACCCGCAGGAGCAGAAATGGGACTGTGCAGAGTCCATACACATTTGGGAACTTGGGCACTGCCCGAGGGCCCGGAGTCAGTAGGGGGCCCTATGATGCCCCTGGTACCTTTCGTAGGCTTTTTTGGGTGTGTTTTGAGTGTGGATGAGGACACAGGGGCCCCATGATCCCCTATTGCCCAGGGCCCCATGAGTTGTCAGTCCACCCCTATCCATACATACAGAATAGGGACAGATACCAGGAATTCCACCCGGCATCCGGGACAGGAGAAGTGGGACTGTGCAGAGGGTGTGGTTTCCTGTGGAGCAGCTGCAGGCTGTGTGGTGCTGACCTCCTCTGATGTCTGATACAAGCCCAGGGTTGGGCTGCCCTGAGCTGGGACGCCTCCCAGGAGAGTCCCAGGCTTCTCGGCCTGCTCATGGAGGTGAAGCTGTGGTTGGTGGTGAAGCGGGAGGACGGAGTTCAGTGAATGGAAAGCAAATGGCAGAGACTGTGAGTAGATGGGGGAATGTTGGTGATGGAAAGTCCAGTGTGAGAAGTTCTGTTAATACAGAGAAGATGAAGTCAGTCCAGCAGTGTGAGAATGTCTCTCAGCAAAATGTCAGTTCTGGAAGTGCAGCACATGGCAGTCCGCCATTGCAGCCACAGCATGCCCAGCAGAGAAGGGCCCAGTCAGTTCAGTCCAAACAGCAATGTAATGTTGTCACCAAGCAAACTCCAAGCTCTGGAGGAGCAGCTCAAGGCAGTCAGCCATTGCAACCACAGCAGGCCCAAGCCGTGCAGAGCGGAGCCCATGCCGTGCAGAGCGGGGCCCATCTAGTTCAGTCTAAACAGCAATGTAAGGCTGTCACCAAGCAAACTCCAAGTTCTGGAGGAGCAACCCAAGGCAGTCCGCCATTACAGGCACAACAAGCCAAGCAGAGGAAAGTTCAGTCTGTCCAGCAATGTGATGTTGTTACCCAGCCTAGTCCAAGCCTTGGAGGTCCAACTCCGGGCAGTCCACCATTACAGGCACCGCAAGCCCAGCAGAGCAAAACCCATGCCGTGCAGAGCGGGGCCCATCCAGTTCAGTCAAAACAGCCATGTAAGGGTGTCACCCAGAGCACTCCAAGCTCTGGAGGAGCAATGCCAGGCAGTCAGCCATCGCAATTACTGAAAGCCCAGCAGAGCGGAGCCCATGCCGTGCAGAGCGGGGCCCATCCAGTTCAGCCTAAACAGCAATGTAATGTTGTCACCCAGCGCACTCCAAGCTCTGGAAGTGCAACTCAAGGCAGTCAGCCATTACAGTCGCAGCAAGACCAGCAGAGCAGAGCTCAGTTAATTCTGTTTAAACAGCAATGTAATGTTGTCACCCTGCACAGTCCAAGTCATGGAGGCCTAACTCCATGCGGTCAGCCATTACAGGCACCACAAGCCCAGCAGAGTGGGGCCCATGCCGTGCAGAGCGGAACCCATACAGTCCATGCAGCTCAGGAATGTAAGGTTGTCACCCGGCATGCTTCAAGTTCTGGAACTGTAAATCAAGGCAGTCAGTCATTGCAACAAAAGCAAGTCCAGCAGAGTAGAGCCCATGCCATACAGTGCAAAGTCCATGCCGTGCAGAGTGGTGATCACACAGTCCATATGGCTCAGGAAAGTGACACTGTCACCCAGCACACTACCAGCTCTGGAGTAGCAACAAAAGGCAGTCAGCCATTGCAAACAAAGCAAGCCCAGAGGAGTGGAGCCCATGCCGCACAGAGCTCAGCACAGGCCGTTCAGAGCGGGGCCCATACAGTACAGAGCGGAGCAGAGACACCTGTCACTCCCAGTACTCCGCGCAGATCTGCAAGGACTACGTTGGAGCAGAAAACTCTGAAGGAGAACTTACAGCAGTGTGTAATGGTGGGCAGTGGCCAGGAACGCTCATTACGCCCCAGGTCCCGGCAGAAGAAAGATGATGGAGCCAATAATTCTCCACAGTCTGGCCTGGAGAGTCCTTCTACATCCAGCAGAGACCCTTCACCCAGTACCGCTGATGGCGATCAGAATTTCAAGCGTCCCGCGGATAGGAAGCAGAAAGTGTTAAAGTCACCTGTGCTGCGCCTGGCTGACAGGATTCCTGCTCTGGAGAAGAGAATGAAGACCTTGAGGAAAGCTAAGGCTTTGACCCAGAAAAGGATTGACTCCATCTACAGACTCTAGGCTGCCGACCCCGGGAATGAAGTCCTACATGACAGCGAGCTTAACGCCCTGGGCATTGAACTGGCCGGTATATCGAGGGACATTGATGCTGTTCTGGAAGAACTAAGACCAGGGGGGGAGGTGTATCGGGATTGCGATTGGGTTGGGACACAAGTGTAAAGATGGAGTCTTCTTCAGAGTCGGACTCCGGGGAACTGATCCAAGGCACGCTACCAGCAAATGTGCTCCCTGAAAGACAGACTCCAGCTCTGGAGGACAGCGGTAGCGTCAGCTTCACCCAGCAGACTTTCATAGTGCAGGAAACCCAGAGAAGCGACATGATGGACTCCCAGTGCATGGACTATGAGGACGGTGTTGCTGCCCCCAGTTCTCATGATGGGACCAATGCTGAGGGGACTGGTGTTCGGGATGGGGTAGTTGCTAATTATGCAGATGAAGCTGCTGATGCTAGTGGTGATATGGCCAGTGCGGATATCACTAATATTGATGTAGTGGTTCCTGATGTCATTAACACAGAGGTAGGTATGTCTGGATGGGGTCAGGACCAGTCTGAGGACCCTGTGAATGTGGCGATGGAGGAGTCAGTTCAGGATAACACCCGTGATTTCCCCCCTTTGGTTGAGTCGCCACCTGCATCACAAGAGAATAGTGGTCCATCTGGCCATTTCCCTCCTCGGAATGCCTGGAGCCGTGGGGCTCCTTCTTTTTCCAACAATACCGGTTATACTGGTCAGGCCTTCAAGAGGAGGAACGTGGTCAGGTTGAAGCATAGGGGTTCCAGAGAAGAGCTCCCTGATAGGAGGTTTGTAGTTAGGGAGTTGCTGTGTCAGTAGATGGGGTTTGTGCCCGCAGATATTTTGGCAGTCATCAACCTCCCTGACAGACGGGGGTATGATGTCAGCTTCAAGCTCATGTCTGGCTTGGACAGGTTCTGGGCCGGCTTTAGTGGGTTTCGGGATAAAGAGGGGTGGAAGATTTTCACCTTCATCCCCATCTCCAAACCTGACACAGCAAACGTGAACATCATTTTCTGGAATGAGTCTGTGCCCCCCCAGGATATTGTAGTCTGGCTCAGAAGGCATTGTGAGATGGTCTCTGATCTGACCAAAACTAGGGACAGTGATGGGATCTGGACTGGAGGTTGGAGGGTTCTTGTCAAGCTGAGGCAGAGTAACCATGTCACCCATCACCTTCCAAACTCCTTTTTCATTGGGCGGGAGAGGGGAGTTTGCTTCTATGCAGGTCAGCCCAGGCTATGTTTCAAATGCGGTAGGTCGGGTCATGTGGCGAGTGTCTGCTCTATCATGAAGTGTAATCTGTGTGGGGAGGTCGGCCATGTCAGTTCTACCTGTGAGAACATCAAGTGCAATCTATGTGGTAGGCTTGGCCATTTACACAGAGATTGCCCGGTGGCTTTCCACAATAGGGATGAGGAATCAGTGGATGAGGAATTTCTGGTGGCAGCAGAACACCTGGAGGAGGAAGCCTTAATGAATGGGGTCATATCAACTGAGGGGGAGGTAAACCCAGAAGTCCAAGGGGCCAGCCTCGGGCAGGAGGGCAGTGTTCAGCAGACTGAGGAGCAGCGGCCACCTGTGGCCATTTCATCCGTTTCAGTTCCTGCCTCTGTGGAGAACGTTCCCAGGCAGAAGAGAAGGAATAGGAAGGAGAAGGCCACCCGTAAACCTGAAAGTGAATGGACCCGAGTGCAGAAATCCGCTAAGAAGGTGAGAAGGGCGCCAGAAGGTAGTATGGCAGTCAGCAACCAGTATGATGTCCTATCAGAGTCAGATGCCAACTCCTGTGATCTAGAGGACCAAATGGGAGGAAGAAGTAGAAAGGGAATCTGCAGCTAGTTCAGGGGAGGACCCGCCCACTAAGAAGCGCCCGCCCCCGGCTCCCGTATTTGTAGAATCCGATATGGAAACTGGTAGTCGGCGGAGTGACTCAGATTCCGATTTATAAAAAGAGTTTAGAGCCGAAAGGAATATAAAATGGGAGGAATTTATTTACAGCATCAAATTCTATGCAGAACTTTCATTAGTTTAATTTGTTGACTTTCTGTCGTGAAGATGTAGGCAGTTGTTACATTGTTGGTTTGTGTGTTTTTTATGATGATGGTTACAGTTTTGTTACCTTGTAATTTGTTTGTTTATACAAATAAAAATATCCATACATACAGAACAGGGACAGATACCGAGAATGACACCCGGCATCCGGGACAGGAGAAGTGGGACTGTGCAGAGTCCATACATACAGAATGGGAACAGATACCGAGAATGACACCCGGCATCCGGGACTGGAGAAGTGGGACTGTGCAGAGTCCATACATACAGAATAAGAGCTCAGACTGGGGGAAGGAGAGGCAGAACAAAGAGCCAATCAGTAATGCTGCAATGGAAGGAGCATGTTGCTAGGAGGAGAGAGCAGAGTGACAGTGAGATGACCTCATCAAGCCGCAGTCTCTCCTTCGCTATCCAATCACAGCCTGGGGGAGGGACAAGACCTGTAGGTGTTATTAAACAGTGGCAGAGAAAGATCAGATTTCCTCATCTGCCAGACAGGTATGTACTGTGTGGCGGAGCTGTGTAAATCGCAGGACTGGATGGACAGAAATGTAAACCTCTGTGGTAGGAGAGCGGCTGTGCTGGGACTGGGACTGTGAAGTTCCGCAACACAAGTGACGATGTGCAGGTCGATCGATATAAATGCCCCCCCCCCCGCTGATCTCCGGTGTAAAAATAAAGAATGAAATCCTCTGCGCTGGACGTCTGAACCGATCGACTTCACCATGAGAGATCGTTCTCTGCCCAGCGCGGGGCACCGCTTCTGACGGAAGACGTACGCCGATCACGCCCCGCATCTGTCATCACAGAGAGATGGAAATGAATTCCCATCCATCGCCCGCCGCCACACACGCGTCCCGTCCGCGATCCGTCACAGAATGACGGCTAATTAAAGGCGATATTTCACCTATCAAATCCCCGGCGTCTTTTATGAATCCGTGTCAGCACTTAGCGGATCAAATAATCGCGCACTAAAATATTATGATGGATGGAATCTCGCGCTCCGCGCCGCAAACACACACTATAAATTCTCCGATGAGGGATGAGGAACGCGGAGGGTTACGGCAGACGGAACAAAACGGGACGTAAAGAGGAGCTGTCACCCCCCTTCAGGGAGGAGAAGACTGTCAGCGGGGGCGGTACAGAGGAAAGACAAACTAGACACCGCACCAAGCATTTCTACACACAGCTGGGGGACTACAAGGCCCAGCATGCCATGGAGGCTTCACAGCAAACAACATTTCTCGTCTACTGTCTATAGCAGAGGAACGATTGTCTCTATCCTCTCCTCTCTTCTCTTCTCCTCCTTCTCTATCTTCTCCTCTCTTCCCTATCCCCTCCCCTCCTCTCTTCTCTTTCTCTATCCTCTTTTCTCCTCTCTTCTCCTTCTTTATCCTCCCCCCTCCTTTATTCTCCTTCTCTATCCTCTCCTTTCCTTCCTTCTCCTTCTCTATCCTCTCCTTTCCTTTCTTCTCCTTCTCTATCCTCTCCTTTCCTTCCTTCTCCTTCTCTATCCTCTCCTTTCCTTCCTTCTCCTTCTCTATCCTCTCCTTTCCTTCCTTCTCCTTCTCTATTCTATCCTCTCCCCTCCTCTCTCCTTCTCTATCCTCTCCCCTCCTTCCTTCTCCTTCTCTATCCTCTCCCCTCCTCTATCCTCTTCCTTCCTCTCTTCTCCTTCTTTATCCTCTCCCCTCTCCTTTCCTTCCTTCTCTATCCTCTCCCCTCCTTTATTCTCCTTCTCTATCCTCTCCTTTCCTTCCTTCTCCTTCTCTATCCTCTCCTTTCCTTCCTTCTCCTTCTCTGTCCTCTCCCCTCCTTCTTTCTCCATCCTCTCCCCTCCTTCCTTCTCCATCCTCTCCCCTCCTTCCTTCTCCATCCTCTCCCCTCCTTCCTTCTCCATCCTCTCCCCTCCTTCCTTCTCCACCCTCTCCCCTCCTTCCTTCTCCACCTCTCTCCCCTCCTTCCTTCTCCACCCTCTCCCCTCCTTCCTTCTCCACCCTCTCCCAAACCCTTCCTTCTCCTTCTCCATCCTCTCTTCTCCTTCTTTATTCTCTCCCCTCCTTTATTCTCCTTCTCTATCCTCTCCTTTCCTTCCTTCTCCTTCTCTATCCTCTCCTTTCCTTCCTTCTCCTTCTCTATCCTCTCCTTTCCTTCCTTCTCCTTCTCTATCCTCTCCTTTCCTTCCTTCTCCTTCTCTATCCTCTCCTTTCCTTCCTTCTCCTTCTCTATCCTCTCCTTTCCTTCCTTCTCCTTCTCTGTCCTCTCCTTTCCTTCCTTCTCCTTCTCTGTCCTCTCCCAAACCCTTCCTTTCTCTGTCCTCTCCCAAACCCTTCCTTCTCTGTCCTCTCCCAAACCCTTCCTTCTCTGTCCTCTCCCAAACCCTTCCTTCTCTGTCCTCTCCCAAACCCTTCCTTCTCTGTCCTCTCCCAAACCCTTCCTTCTCCGTCCTCTCCCAAACCCTTCCTTCTCCGTCCTCTCCCAAACCCTTCCTTCTCCGTCCTCTCCCAAACCCTTCCTTCTCCGTCCTCTCCCAAACCCTTCCTTCTCCTTCTCCATCCTCTCCCATCCTTCCTTCTCCTTCTCTATCCTCTCTTCTCCTTCTTTATTCTCTCCCCTCCTTTATTCTCCTTCTCTATCCTCTTCTCTCCTTTCCTTCCTTCTCTATCCTCTCCCCTCCTTCCTTCTCCTTCTCTATCCTCTCCCCTCCTTCCTTCTCCTTTTCTATCCTCTCCCCTCCTCTCTTTTCCTTCTCTATCTCTTCCTGTATTCACCACCATAGTGGCTGAAGGAATTTCACAGGTTCTCCCATTCTTCTCAATGGTGACCCACTCTCTATCTGCACCCACCAACACTGACACTCTAATGGAAACCATTAGCCTTCGGTCACTTTTTTTCTGTAGGTTTGTTTGATCAACAAAACTTGTGGAGAGAGGGTGAGGGGCACAGGATACCCAAGACAACAAATGTCCCAGGCCATCTTAGATCAGCGATAAAAAATGAATGGAAGCCCTAATTTATGAGTAACATCCTCTTGGAAATAACAGAGTTGATAGCAGCCTTTGATCCTTACGTAGAAGTCTCCCACTTACAACAGATCCTTTGAATATCTCTATTGGTGGCCATAGGTGTTGATCCTTTAGAAGCAGCCTCCTTAATTACGAAAGATCCTTTGAGATCTGCTATTGGTGGCCCTAGATTCTTCAGTGTAGCCTCCCAATTACAAAAGATCCTTCAGCAGAGCCTCCTAGGTACAATAGATCTGAGTATCTCTTTTGGTGGCCCTAGATACTGCAGTAGTGGCCTCCTAATAAGACTATGTCCTCTGACTCTAGGAGAGTTTGTTGGAGGTATCTTCAACAGTTGAGTAATGAAGTCCATCCAGCAGCAGCCCTTCCTAAGTTCTCCTGGAAATTCTTCGCATAGCAGACTGATTTGGAGGGGCTCCAACAAGCCATCATCTTCTGAATTCTCCAGGCCCTAACACATGCCATCTTAGATTCCTTAGGTCCAGGCTCAGATCCCAGGAAAAGACCACATCACCACGACATCCTCACCAGGCAGCCCCCCCTGGGAACAAAGGCCTTTCTAGAAGGTTGCTCCAAATATGTACCCTCTCCCTTCCGGTCACATCACTGGAATAAATCCCTCAGCGATAGGCCAAGGCTACAGGTGGAAAAAAATCCTGAGTTTAGGAGAAACCCAACGAACCAAGAAAACGTAAAATCACTTCACCAGCAGCAACTTCATGGAAGAAACGACTAAACTCCGGAGGTGAGCACATACTCTCCGAGACCATAACCCTAGTCCCGAGGAAGAGGACAACCCATTGCCATGACATGCATCGATGGTGATCTCCATACTTGTTATAAATAAAATACTTTTTATTAAACAAATCTGATGAATCTGACTGCACAGGAGGCTCTGCACAGCTCCGCTTTCCTTTTGGGGACCAACGTCCATGCGTTTAACAAACGTGCAGGACAATTGGCTCCTTTTATGTAGAAGAACAATCACTGAGCACACGAAAACAGCCAACAAACATCCAACAGGTAGAGATGGACTTTAGTAATACTGTATACTAGAAAAAGGAGTGGAGAGGAGATAAAAAAAAAAAGGAGGATAAAGAAAAGGGAAGGAGAGGAGAGGCAAGGGAATAATGTACAAGATAGATGAGTGTGGGGGATAGAGAAGAGAGGAAGGGGAAAATAAGAGGGGAGAGAAGTGGAGAAGAAGAGACGAGAGGGAAGGGTGGACAGAAATAAGAAAAAGAAAAGTGGGGATGAGGAAAATGGAGAGAACAGAGGAGAGGATATACAAAAAGAAATAGGAAAGTGAAGGAAAGAAGGGTAGGGAGAAGAGAACTTGGTGAGGAGAGGATGAGAGAGAATGGAGGGGGTAAGGTAATTGAATGGGAGGATATAGGAAAGGGCAGGATCAGAAAGATAAGGAGCAGGAAGAATGTGGAGAAAAGAGCAGAGGAGCGGATGGAGGAGAGTCTAGAGCAGGGGTCTCCAAACTTTCTAAACAAAAGGCCAGTTTACTCTCCTTACAATTTTAGGGGGGCCGGACTGGGCGTAGAAAAGGTCCCGACGTCAGTGGGGGAGAATATCGCCCCAGTGTTGGTGTCAGTGGGAGGAATTGTGCCTCATCATTAGGAGGAATTATCCCCCACTGTTGGTACTCATAGATAAAATAGTGCCCCAAGGTCCAGAGAAAATAAAGCAAAGGGGCCCATCCAGCCCCCGGCAGCAGTTTGGCGACCACTGGTCTAGAGAGTACAGGAGAGGTGA